ATCAATTCTTATATTTTATTTGTATAATTATATTTTTAAATTTATTTATTTTTAAATTTAAATTATAAAATAATATTTTTTAATAAATATATTATATAATGTATTAAATATGTATCAATTATTGTTGTTTTCCCTCCAATGCAAGTAACCAATCATTATTTTTATTATACTAATATGTGCTTTATGTTTTTAGATTTATTAACTACTTTGTCTGATTGAGAAAGATGAGGAGAACCTATCTCTTTCTCTCTTTCTTTTTTGCCCAATGAACTCCTCGTTGTTTTTTAACCCTTGATTATGATGTTAGGTAATGTGGATTTGGAATATTCTTTTAACTTTATTATGCCACCATTAATTCTTATCTTCTCTTACCATATAAAAATGGGATGTATTATGGTGTGTCATTATAGCACTAACTAATTTTCTGAAGGTTCAAAAAAAAAAAAATTATGCCGCTAACTAATCCTTATCTTCTCTGACCATTTTTCTGTATAAACAAAACACAATATAACCTTGGGCTAAACCTTAACTAGTTGTTTGGTTACTAAAAGTCATTTCTCAAGAAACAAGATCAAAACTTGTTACATCAACAAAATTAATCACTCTCTCAAAAATTAAACTGTGTAATTTTATTAAATTTACATAAAATAGAGAATATGAATTTTTTTATGTGCCTACACCAAGTTAATACAAGTGCAAATTCAATAACATAAGAACAATAGTATAATACACATAATATTAAAAATAGAAAAAAGGGGTTGGTGGAAATCCCTCACGCACGGGAGTTGTTAGGCCTCAACATTTGCATCCTTAGCGAAGGCCTCATAGGTAACGAAGGAGACGAATTGAAATACAAAAGAAAAACATTTTTATAAAAAGAAGTGCGACCACTTTGGACATTTTGAATTAAAGAGAGAACAAGAGAAAATGACAAGACAATTGTTTTACTACCATATAATTTGGTCATGGTGGTCCTATTGAAATCCATGAAAGGAATTTGTTAAAGTTGTTATTTGTAGTAATAAAAATTAGGTGTGCTTCTTTTCATGATAACAAATTATGAAACCTACTAAACCAAGGATTTGATGATGGATTCACATATTACCACAAAACCCTTTAAGTTTAAGATAAATTTGTTGCACCCATAAATTTTTAAAAAGTTATAAATCAAGTATCTAAACCAAACAAACGTTCATTGTCAAAACTAGCGAGTAAAGCTTGTAAACAATCAGACTTAGGCATGACTTGTTCAAGAATTTTGTCGAGCTTAACTTTTCAAGCTCAGATTGGACTCATCCAAAAAAAAAGTAGAATTTGTACTTTACTTGACCTCAACTCATCAAACAAAATATTCAAATTCATGTTTGAGCTCAAATTCAATTAATTTTAATATTGAGTTTTATGGTATAATAGAAAGGTTAATATAGATGATTTGCGTTTTAACATCATCTTGAACTTATATGAACAAATTTAATAAATTAATTAACAAATAA